GCATTTTTCCCAGCAATAGATCAAGTAAGAGGCCCTGCTAATTTTGGATGGGTCCATCTTCAAATATTTTGGTTAAAAAGATAATGATAATTTTTTTTGCACATGTGGCACAGGCTAAAATTGCCCTGACTTACACCAAAGAATGTAAGAGGTCAGACCCTACCAAGGTCAGAAATATTGTTGGTAGCAACGTACAACAGTGCTTTAAGTCTCTATATATGTTATAGTGGAAATCTGACATGTTGCTCTACACACCCACTATCAGATCAACACTACTGTATACAAAAACATCTAACCAACAAGTTGTGTCCCCTATGTCCCAATCTAGGATTGTGTTCTACCCATGGCACAGTTTGGCTGGTATTGGTGTACCTATCTCACCTGACAACCATCATTTTATCCAACATTTATCATGCACACAACAGACCACAGTTTGGGAAAACATCTGGGGTGACACGGACATTGTACACTGACATCAATTGGACAACTTTGTTTCATTTCTGCTAGCAGAAAGGCTGTTAATTTCAATCTACTGATGTCCTCTTGTGCTCTTTGAAATAATTTGTTAAATACGTGGATTATGGAGTTAGACTTGTTGACCAAAAAAAGAGACTCTTTTAAAATTACCATTATTGTTTTGAAAACTTGGCAATCAGGTGAGAACAAGTCATTTTGATGTTGGTTTTGCCCCAACTCATTTGTCATGCTATTCCATAGAATATAGAATATTCCATCAGTAGCCAGGAAGGATGATTAAATAGTGTACACTAGAATGATGTATGTATCTATGGTACTGTTGACATGGCAAAATAGTCATCATGATCCTGATGGTTGCAGGTGGTGATGTATGCTGCTTGTAAATCTGTTTTCTTGAGGAGTTAGACACTAAGCAGAGATACTGGCTCTACAAAAAGGCATGCACATGTATTAGCACCAAGTAACATCATACATATATAAGCACCTATAATATAACCTCAGTGTACAATACCTGTGAGTAATACATCACTTACACTTGGACAAGTAAGGCCCACACATAATGGCAAGCTTAAGCTACTTTGTGCAAACATGTATCATGATCACATCAACATTACTGATGTTTACACTGGAACTGTCACATAGGGTACAATTGTGTATAGTTCTGAGGCTATGCAATTACCTGCATTTCAGTCTGTAAATCAAGTTTCTTCAATAAAACCGAACTTGAACATAAAGAAGACTTGCTGAGCTATCTGAGGTACATATGAGGGTTGACATTGTAAAAAAAATTGTACTTTTTTTTAACATCCAGTCTACACATTTCAGTTATGGGAGCTGAACTTGGCCAGAGGATATCTTGGTCTAGCTAGGTGTTTTTCTTATGTACGCATTTTGATAATACATTAAGACATACCTAACTCAGGTAACATGTCATTTGGATGTGTATAACTGAAGTTACATCAGAGGCTTAGCTCATCTGCTTCAATAACCTTGCTCAAGCAACCTTAACACAAAGAATTGATGCCAGGTTATTCAGAGTCTAGTGCCATCTCTAACCACTATACAAATACTTTCTTACCAAGCTAAGATGTGAGCTCAATACAAACTCTTGACTTAACTGTATCAATACTGCAATACTACGCAACTAACACTGACCAAGCCTATACATCAGATGAAAATTGACATCATTGGTGTGACTTGGTTTCAATCAGACTGAGTAAAGTTTAAGCTACATACTGACATGAGGTTAATTTTGTTGAGTGACAATCTAAGAAAAAAATGGTTGCAATGTTCAGAGAATTGCATGTTTTTGTAGAGTATGGCCTTTGTGGATAAGCAGCAGATGGAAACAAAAACACCCCCACACAACTCAGATGTAGTATCATCATTATGAAGGTATTTTTACTATACGTCTCTAAGAAAAGAGCAATGTTAGCAGTTGTAGACTAATTTTTTGTTGCAACAGCTGTGTTTTCCTTGTATCAAAAGCCTTAATCCAGTTTCTGTTATTAATCTTACTTAGTATAATCACTGCTTCACTTTCTGTGTTGTTTTTTCTCAAATTTTACCCCCGTGGGTAAAGTGACGTGCCAGTGCATTTTCAGGAAGTGTAGTCAGATTGCAGAATTTTTGGTTCCCAATAAAGATTATTGTTTGAATGTCTACAGTTGTACACAAGTTCCTCGCCTCCTAAACAATGGCACATCCACAAGTTTGATAAAGGGTTAGGTTTGATTAAGAATTTGGTGAGGAATGTTTTACTCTACAGAATACCCATCAATGTCTAATCACATTCACACTATGTTAAAAG